GCTGAAGACAGCAGGCCTCTATGGGGCTAGCCATCCCCACGCTTGAAGTATTCCCTCCCCACCCCAGGCCTACCCTTCAGATCCTCTGAAGGTACAGAAATGTCTAGTTCTGGCCTTCTAAAAAGGTCCACATTTTGACAAACTAATAATTTTGAAGCCTGCTTTAATTTGCAACCCCATCCCCCTTATTACTAAGAGGAGCCATTTTAAATTCAAATCTCTTTTGTTTCCTAATGTATTTGCACATTTTTAATTACCCATGGATGCCATTACTTTCTAGAGGAGGTTAGTTATGTTGCACTCATTAACACATAGAATCATAGGGTTGGAAGGGACCTTGTAGGTCACTAGTCCAGCCCCCTGCCAAATGCAGGAATCCTCCTCCTATCCTGGACAAAAGTCTGTCCAGCTTTTTCTTGAAATCTCCAGTGATAGAGCAGTAACAACTCCAGGAGACAGACTGATTTACTGCCTAAGAGCTCTCACAGTCAGGAAATTCCTCTTTACTTTAAATTTAGGTCTCTCACTGTAAAGCTCCCACCATTGGGTCTTGTCTTATCCTCAGGTGCTATGGAGAATAAGTCCACACCCCTCTGCTCTGGACATCCCTTCCTGTATTCAAAGGCTGCACCCCTAACCCTTAGCCTTAGCTTTCTCTTTTTTAGACTAAATATATCAAGTTCCTTTAACCAATCTTTGTAGGATTTAACCTGTAAGCTTCTTTCCATCCTTCTCTGCATTCTTTCCAGATCCTCAGCAGTTCTTTAAGTGTGCGCCAATAAAACTGTGAGTGTGGAAGAAGGAATGCATGTGCAGACCAAGAAATGGTGGTGGGTGGGGGAAAAATATGAGTCCAAATAAAGGATTCATCCTGGAAAGCTGCTCAAAAGGGAACCTGGGCTGTCACTGTCAACACAAGCTAGTCACACTGCCATGGCATCAGTGGCTTAGCCCAATATATAGAGGATCTCCCATCAGAGGGGTTGGAGTTTCAAGTCCCATGAGTCTCAGACTGCATGGATGGAGTGAGTAGATGAACCAGGTCTATCATTCTGAGCTTCATGGAAGAAAAAATAGGTATTAATGAATAAATTAATTCTGTTTCCATCCCCAAGTACATGTTTTCTTCCTCAGAATAACTTGGATCAAGAAAATATGCTCTTCAGATAGGATGAAATGCAAGCAGTCTAACTTGAAACATTATAAAGAAAACTCATTTAACATTTGGAAGGCATCCATTGACTTCTCAAATCCCTTTGCAACAAGACTAAAGAAATCTGCACAGAATACTGAATATTGAAGGGAATATAACCCTGCACAGGGCCCCCACCATGATCCCAAGTGGGGGTTGTTATTTAATAATGGGCCATTCCCCATCTCCAGAATCTGAAGCCACTTCAATAGTTCCCCCTCCAACTTGAAAAGAGATATCTGCCTCCTCCCTGTTTTTTCCCCTTTTCCCCTTTAAGGACATAAGCTGTAACTTGAGAAGTGAAGGGATGCAGGAGAAAGTTTAGCTAATTTGGCTTAGCTGCTGCTCCCGCCTCCCTCCACCATCCTCTCTGTACAAACAGCATCCATGCCACGTCACCCAGTGCCTGCACTGGGGCTGTGCTCTAATGTTCTTCCATTACTTGGTTGAAAGGAGCTGATCAGTTTCAGAGAAACAGTGAGCTAGAAACTTTCCACAGGAGTGCAGAAGAAGTGTAAAAGAAATTTCTTTTGGCCTGTGCAGAGTACAACCAAGTTTTAATTTCAAACTTCCCTGCAGAATATTTCTGAAGAATTCTGCTCTGAAAGAAGTCTTTACCTACACACAGGCACACCCACAGATACACAAAGAAATTTAATGAAAAGGGATCATTAAGCAAAAAGCTGACAAAGAGGAGCAGCAGCACCTTTTTCCAAGCTTCGAGCGTGGAGAATAAGAAGTGAACTGCTATTGGCATCTTCCTTTTCAAGTTACATTAACTTGCTTTTCTTCAGATTCCTGTGGGACATTCTTGAGCCATCATGAATGTATTTCGGATCCTGGGAGATATCTCTCATCTCTTAGCTATGATAATTTTGCTACTGAAAATCTGGAGATCAAAGTCATGTGCTGGTAGGTATTACTATTACTATTACTACTACTACTACTACTATTATTATTATTATTACATCAACATGAAATCACAGTTGCTAGTTCTTTAGCTGGTGTTGGCCTTCATTTGAATTGAGTTCTTCCCAAGAACTTAGGATCTCATAATGTATCAATGTAGTATACGTGCGGATTCCAGCAGTGTGGCTTTTTGAAATTGACAGATGGAAGTTTTGTTAATGTGCAGATTTTCTAAGTGTCATCCAAGGCTTTTTGATATGGCACCCAGTGTGCTGATAACCACTGGGACCTCCACTGCCAGTTTATGCCATAATCTTTCAACTTCAGTTTTCAAATCTTGATACTTTGTGATCTTCTCCAATTCTTTGTCTTCTACTATCCCCTGCTATTGCCACATCAATTATCTATACTTTCTTCTTTTCAACCAGTTAAATCTGGTGTGTTATGTCCCAAGATTTTATCAGTTTGTATTAGGAAATCCCACAATATTTTAACCTGCTCTTTTTTAACTACTTTTTCAACTATATGTTCCCACCAATTTTTCGGTACTGGCAGATGATCATTTTACAGATGCGCCAGTGAATCATTTTGATGATTGTGTTATGTTGTTGTTTATCGTCAGTTTGGGTAATCTTCTTGCATGAACTGAATATATGATCTATTGTTTCTTCTGCTTCTTTGCACAATCTGCACTTTGAATCATTTGATGATTTTTCCATTCTGGCCTTAATTGCATTAGTTCAAATAGCTTGCTCTTGAGCAGCCAAAATCAAGCCTTCAGTTTCTTTTCTTAATCTTCCAGTTGTAAGTCATTGCCAGATTTGATCTTTATCCCCTTTCCCTTCAGTCATTTGTAGAAATTGACCATGTAATGCTTTTCCTTGCCAGCATTCTGTTTGTGTTTTTATTACATTATTTCGATATTCATGTTTTGTTTCCTGTACATTCAGTAAGTTCCAATTTTTAACCTGTATCACTGCTTGTTTTTGGCTATCTTTTACATAATCAGCCAATGCATGCCTTTCTTCTTTGACAATTGGTTTATTATTATTTGTTTGTTTGTTTAAATTATTACTACTACTACTACTACTACTACTGGTTGGTAGCGCAGCCAGATGTTTAGACTGGATTTGGCATTTTTATCTACCTATCGAGTCCTTCCCAAGGACCTGGGTTAGGCAGATGTTGTTTGATGGTGTTAAAGGTACCATCACAGGATATAAGCTGTTCCAAGTAAAGTTGCCTTCTGCAATTGACTGATGGTGATTTTGTCAATGCTGATGGTGTTCAAATGGTGCTCAGATGTTTTAGGATTGCACCTAAGACACCTATAACTATTGGTACTATCTTTGCTTTCTTTTGCTATAGTTGTTCTATTTCTATTTGCAGGTATTTGTATCTTGTGATTTTCTCCAGTTCTTTCTCTTCTCTTCTGCTGTCTCCAGGTATTGCAATGCCCGCTATCCAGACTTTTTTGCTTTTCTTATCAACAATTGTTAAGTCTGGGGTGTTGTGTGGCAGGTGCCTGTCTGTATTCTATAATTCTTATTGGATTTATGCCCTACCTTTTTATTCATCTGGCAATCAAGGCAGTTTACAACATTAAAAATACAAAAGCTAACCTTACATTAATACATTTAAATTCCTGACAAAAAGAAACATTAAGATAAAATAAATTAACAATTAAAAGCCTGGCAGAAGAGTTGCATTTGTCAGTTCCCTAAATCCTGGGAGAATGGAAGCCAAGGACATCTCCCCTGGGAGTACATTCCACAGCCAAGAAACCATGAAAAAGAAGGCCCTTTCCTGCACACCAGACCAAGGAACTCCAGTAGGAGGGGTATCTTTCGACCAGAATGGGCTCCTAGAGACAGAAGCTATTCAGGTGTTCCCAATCTGCTTGTTGAGACATCCATGTAGTGGTCATCCTGACTTTCTGTAAGCTAAAATTTATGGTGACTTGTGCATTCCCTCAGGGTCCTCCCACTACCCAAGACATAATAGATCCACTTGGATAAATTAAAAGTTTAGGAAGGGGGGGAGAACCATCATTTTAAGTTGAGTAAAATTTTTCATTATGGAGGAGGAGGCGGCAAGAAAACCTATCTGACAGGGATTTAAAGGAAATGAACTAAGAGACTTGGAAACTTCAGGCTTAGCCAAGAGCATTTGTAGCCTAAGGTAAGCAAAAAGATGACACCCCTTCTCTCTACCAGTGCTAGGGCCAAAACCAACTGGAGGAGCAGCTCATAAAGTGGTGCTCCACCATGCTTAACAGCAACAGACTAGCCAAGGGGATGCAAGGAAGGCAGAATGCCACCCCACCCGCCCCCTTCCCCTGATGTCCATAATGTTTGCTACTTGAGGTATTCATCTTATGTTACCATAGCAACAGCCCCTTTTTTTGACATTTGGAGTAGAGTTGGGGTAGATTGGGAATTTTTGATTTTTTGAAAAACTATCTTTAGTCTTTGGGCTTACACTTTCATTTTTCTTGCCTCAAAATAGCAGGAAGCCACACCAGCAGCTTTTAGCAACCATGGTCGAAGGTAGTCCTGGAAGGTACAAAAAATGGAGTTCATGGCTGTGTGTGGCCTTTGAGACTGTTTTCCACTCTTGTTCTGACCAATTAGGGCCAGCGGAAGCTGAACTACAGAGAGATGATTCTGAGCAAACCTGCTCTCTAGTGACCACATTTTGATCCCTAGGAATTCAGATTGCTTTGGTTTACCTGCAACACTTGTCCCCTCTTAGTTCCTTTCCTGTAGTTTCATTAAGGCTGCACTGGAATGCATTTTTCTTTTTTTCATTCTTTTAAATATTTATTTACCAGGAAGAAAAGTTTACAGGAAAGCTTACAGTTCAATAAAAGGATAGACCTCCTGCCCACTGGCTAATAAACTAAAAGCACACAACGCAAAAAGAAAAAAGGGAGAGAAAAATACTTAGCTATCCATTCTTAATTACAGTCCTTAATGATCAAATGGAATGTACTTTTGAGGCACAATCAGATGGATATAGGTGCTGTACATAAAATACCTGTAGAAGAAAAGCAAGAATGACATTTATTACACAGTCTATTTCAGGCTACCTGTATTTTCGCCTTGGTCTGCATATTTGCCCCACAGTAAAGATAGCAACAATAAATCACAATCCATTTTAACAGTATAATCTTTATTATAGTCTAGAACAAAAATGTTAAATCTTTCACCAAGATACTGAAGCCTGAATAAGTCCCTGAGAAAAGTTTCTAAGTCTCCAACTTCATACTAGTTGCTTAATTTTCTTGATTTCTTGTCACATCCTTTGCCACAGAAGTATTTCCTCAACCTTGAAAAAAATCCTTCCATTCCCACTTTCTTTCCTGCAAGCCCATCCTACTCCATCCCACCAATCTCGTCCCTGATTCTGAGCAGAATTAAATGTGTGTTTAAAAGGAGTGGTGCTATGATGTTGCATAATGCAAACATTGTCCAGCTTCTGATGTTGGTGTGTACACATCTGATATACAGTAAACAAGTAGTGGAGGTAGATTAAATAAAGCAGAAGTAAGCATCTTTCCCTGTTTATAGATTAATGTTTATGGAGCCTGCCTTGCCTCCATAAAATAGAAAGGCACTATTGTTGAAGAAAAGTGCACTGATAAATGGGAATATTCATCTTTGATTTCTTCCACCTGAAGACCAGCCCTATGAAACTTTGAACACTTGCAGCTGCACACAGTGTTTATTCCAGACTCAAGCATCAAAGCTAGAAAGGTAGCTTACACAGAGAGCAGTCACCAATATCCACCAATGTCCTTGAAGTTCAATTTCTTCTCTACTTGTCTCTCTCTGTGTCTCCCCACCCCCAGCCTTTCTTTGGTGGATTTCAGAAACAGATGTAGCACTGGTGAATTTCTAGTCTCCTTGTCCCCACCCACCCCCACCCCCACCCCCACCCCCTCTAACTTTGGATGGCAGAGATGGAGGACCAAGTGTGATATTCCCTGACTTCAGTAACTAGGGTGTCTGTGCTGCCAAAGACATCAGAGATGCCTTGTGATGCGTTTTCACTTTAAAATAGCAGAGTACACGCAAGCTTGGATTAAGCCTTAACAGTCCTCTTACGTTTGTATTTCCCTGTTGCCCTCTCAACCCTCCATCCAGGTGTCTTCTTTTAACTTTTTAAAACTTTGTTTAAGGCATCTTCAGATTTCTGTTTGGGGCAAAGCAATGGGAAAGAAACCCCAATAAAATCCAGACAGGTAGCCAGAATGGCTATCTAGAGAAAGAAAAAGAATCATGTGGGATATTAAAGAATGACAGATTTCTTGTAGGCCTTAGCTGTACAATAAATCTTGGCCATCAAGATATATTAGAACTTTTCTTTTTTATGCTCTAGCTCTGTGTTTTTCAAACTTGGCAAGTTGTGTGGACTTCAACTTCCAGAATTCCCCAGCGGGTCCATACATCCTACAGTTGCCAAGTTTGAAAAGCAGTGCTCTAGCTCAGTGTTCCTCAACCTTTGCAACTTTAAGATATGTGGACTTCAACTCCCATGCTGGCTGGGGAATTCTGGGAGTTGAAGTCCACATATCTTAAAGTTGCGAAGGTTGAGGAACACTGGTCTAGCTCATAAAATTGTTGCTTCTTAGGGGTTAAGACTACCTTTTTCTTTCTATGTTCTCCAACATGTTGTTTTCCTTCCATTGTTATTTGCAATCATTTTATGCCAGTGTTTTTCTGAAGCTACCAGCCAATTTCAAATTGTCACTGAGAAAAGAGAGATAACTCAGGGTAATTGTAAAAAGACAAAGGCTTCTCTTTTCCCCTCCCTGCATATGTGAATGTGTTCTAGTAACTCTCTTTTCCCATCCAGTGGGCTGGACATTTTAAGAAGTCTCAGGAAAAATATCCAAAGAGGGAACAAATTAGCAGATGATGGATGGAGTCAGATCCAGTAGTGAATAAGGCCAGAGACAAAGCTAGTGTCCTTTCCAGCTCTCTCTCTTTTGGGTTGGTTCCTATTCCTTCTCTTCACCTCTTTCTCTCTCTCTCTTACACACACAAATCAATTCAGGAATCAAGAAGTGCTTGTCATAAAAATGGGCCAATAAGCACGAATAAGTCTACAACACTTGAAAAGCTAGATATTGTTGAAGACTGTACAGTAGAATGACAGAGGTGTATGTTCAAGTTAGCTATACTGTACATACATTTAGAAATTGATTTAACTATTATTGAATTCAGTGAGGCTTACTCCAAAGTAAGTGTCCTCTATGTTGTAAGCTTGTTTTTTTCCTCCAGAGGGAATGTATGAATGGAAAGGGGATGGAGAGAGATTAATGGGACTTGCCATTCATTTTATAATGTTCTAAATGATGAATGGTAGAACAATCCTGTGGGGACAGGCACAAGTTTAAGATTTGCTTCCTAATCTATACTGATTTAACTCCAATGTACTGCATCCCCTTGTACAATGTGGTTGCAATCCACCCAAACAAGATGAAAATTTCATAACTGGTTGGGTGGGTTGCAACCAATGTTCATATCTTTCTTCATCAGTCCCAGAGTTACACTGTGAGAAATGTAGAAGAATCTGTCAGTTGAATGATTGAATTAAAATGTCTAAAGATTTATCTTCAACTTGCTGATTCACCCATCTAACTTTTTCTCTTTTATAAATAGTATTTGTTTGGGGGAATAACAAAAGTATGGGAAGATTTTGGATCACTGGAATTATCAAATGATTTGCTTCTCAGACAGGATGGAAGCATTTGACATTTTGTGTGTGTGTATGTGTGAATGAGAGCAAGAGAGGTATGTATGGAAAAAAGACACCCTATATAGAGAAATCAAGCATGCCTCTTATTCCTTCCTCCTTACAGTTGTCACCTATTGCTGTCGTGACAAAGAACCATATGTATATCCAGTACTTTGAATGAAAACTTACTTCTAAATTATCCTGATGCAGCTCCCTACCCTCTCAAAATAAGGCAACATGGTTAGACAATTTCAGCATGTTGTATATATTACTGCCTTTGAAAACTGCCCAGAAACCACCATTGCTTCAAAGCAAGGCTGAAAGATTATTAGCTTTCTTAACTCTTACTTTGATCATTGTTCTCTCTTTTAAAAAGATTGCTAATACCAGTCTGTTCACAGTAAGAACACAGTAAGTGTTACTCAGATATTGTGGGACAATGACTACTCTTATTAATAGTTTCTACTGCGTCTTTGTACTTCTAAAAAAACCCCAAGAGGTGATTCTAATTTTATTTATTTTTAGCTGCTTTCATTCGTTTATATCAGGCTTTGTTTGATGTTACTGCCTTTAGACAGACATTGGCTTAAAGATGTTTAAACGATTTTAGTGATTTTTTTTTGCATTAAAATGTTTTTATATCTATATAGATATATATGTAGATATCTTAAACTAGAGAGCCAGTGTGGTGTAAAGGTTAAAGCACCAGGCTAGAAACCTGGAGACTATGAAGACTAGTCTGACCTTAGGCACAAAGCCATCTGGGTGACCTTGGGCCAGTCACTCTCTCTCAGCCCTAGGAAGCAGGCAAGGGCAAATCAC